CGCAGCGCTGGCACCGCCCCCCCCGGCCCGTACCATGTCCCGCCGCGGGGGGAGCCGCCTCCGAGCGGACACAGGCGCCGCAGGGCTCGGAGCAAAAGCGCGGCGCGAACGGCAAGTTCTGCTTTATAAATCGATTCCTGCAGCGCAAACAGAGCCCAAAGATTTGAATGGACGCAAAAAAGGTGCCTAGGAATTGAAGTACTTGTCTTAGGATGCTGGAAGGGTGTGCTTGTTTGGCTTAGGGAAATAAGGCTAAGAACAGGCACAAATGCCTTCTATAAATACATCAGAGAGGCTGAGGAGACAGCAGCTAATTTAAACTAAACGACAATACTGGCAGAAGAACAAATGGGCATGGAAGCTGCTCAGGAATCATTTTAGGGAGATGCTTCTGCTCCTATTACTTTCCAAAACAGGGTAGTGCAGAACCAGGAAGTTGTGCTGATTCCCTCCCCACACTTACACTTTTTTTTTTTTTTTTTTTTTAAATCCACATTACTCCAGCAGACTCGAGCAGATCTCTTTGAAACCACAACCTTTTTCTTATTTGGAGCCTTGGAAGTCAGCCTTGGAACTGCGATTTGTGCGATTACATGTGCCTCCACAGTTTGCTTTCAGGAGTATTTAGGGAGATCATAAACATCACGAGACTCATAACAAAGTGACAGAAATAAATACTGTCTTCATCCTTTTGCCCATTTCTTTTGCTTGCAGAGCACTGACCTTTGGTTTTGGATGGCACACAAGCTGCTAGCTGCTTTTCACTCGAGTGCAGGTTTCAGAACCTCACGGACACAGGCTGCAGACTGAGCAGGGCACTGGCCTCAAGTGGTGCTGCCCATGCTTAAGGCTGAGCTTTTATCCTGCAAAAACTTAAGCTTTGAACATGTTTTTAACCCATTGTACCATCTCAGCGAAAACATTAAGATGCTTAAAAAGTGAGGCATAAGAATTCACAAAACAAAGATGATTTTACATAGGAGTGAGCAAGTGAGCTTGAAAGGGTCAGTAATGAGAAACTCCTGTTGGGCTGGTTAGTTCATCATTTTGCTCTCATCAAAACAGTATTACTCCCTGCACTAAAGAGAAGTGGTTCATAGCAAGCAGTCTCCTTTCCTAGATTGCCCTCCTTTGCCCATTACATGCACCCCATGCCAGTCCCCCATCTTCAAGCAGTTTATATTTAGCACTAGCATAAGGGAGATGGCAGACTGTACAAAACAAGAGCAAGCTTGGGCCTGTATAAATCATTAACACAGGTTTAACAGCATCATTATTTCGCTATTAACATGCTCTCTGCCACAACTGCACAGACATGGCACTGAAAGCAGCCCCTGCCCAAAGGGCAGTTCTCTCCCCTTTGAAGCCCATGCCACCCACATGCATCCACACCTCTGCTCCAGGGCAACATTCACTCCCTGCACAGAAAAACCCTTATTGGACAAACTGAAACGTTAATCCCAAAATCCTAATACCTTTTATTGAATCACTCTGGCCCTTGCCAAGCCCCTATCCTTCTTTAAAAAGCCACAGGCGCTGGGTTGGGTGGGCAGCCTGAGATGTGTCCAAGCGGCAGAGGGCACTGAGGAGCTGCCCAGCTCCGCACTGCCAAAGCAGAAGGGCTGGACACAAATGACGCAAAACAGGATGGTCTCACATGTACTGGCATTATCTAATAATCCTTTATAAGCTCAGAAGCTCAGAAAATAACAGTGAAACAAAACTACTTGCCTTTACATTTGTCAAGACAGTCCATCTTCCTAGTAACTTGGTTATTTATTTTTTTTCCCCTTCCAGGTCACTCTCTGATGCTGCAGTGGCCCTCTGGGAACATTTATTATTAATGTTGGCCAAACCCTAGAACCTAAAATTAGAGAAAAGAATAAGCCAAAATCTCCGTTAGAATCTGCTTCTGTTCTTGTTCCTTACACTGGCAGCTCAGCAACCACCTGCAGAGCTGCCAAACAGTCCTTAGGAGAGACTATTCTTGTTTCAAAGCTTTCCCCCAACAAAGATAACCCAGCGGGGCCCAGGGCAAAATAGCAACTGACTTGCTCACCCTTATCCCAATACAGGAAGGAGTTAGTATCAAACAAAAATAGATGCCAGAAAAGAAAGGAAAGCAGCTCATTTGGTCCCACAAAGCAGCAGAAACAGTTGCCAGCCTCTGAACCCCTGTAACCTACTGACTAAAGGGGGTTTCTCCATCTTATCCTGATTACCAGCCTTGCCTTTCAGGGTCTCTCAGTTTGCCTGGTACTATTACTCTAATCCTACTTCATTATTCAGGTTCTTAGAAAAAATACCATTTTCAGAAGAAATCTTTGTGCAGCCCTACTTACTGTATCCTCCTATTCTGACAGTAAACAGTTGATAATTCTTCTTCAAACATAATACAATTAGGTGTGTCCTCTCTTAAAAAAATATTTTATTTAAATATTAATTTTAAAAAAACCTCAAAACATACCAGCTAGAAGAGCAGGAAGCATGACCAAAAATCCAGAAAGCAACAGATACCACACCTGCCTCCCCTAAACCAACAACGTGACCAAGATGACTGTTCAATGCTTGCTCATGGTGACTCTGCTCCAGGTTGCTCCCTCTGCTTTGCTCAACGTCCCCCTCACTGCAGTGCCTTTTCCAGAGACCTAAAGGAGGTTACTCAAACTTTAACCTTAGTGCGTATAAAAAAAAAAGGCAAGAAGAAAAAAGAAGAAAGAAAAGACAAAAAGCACAAGAGTAACTAAGATGTATATATGTGTTTCTGCCGCTGGGGGGAGCAGAAATCTCTCCTTTCACCCACTGCATGCCTAACGTCCCCGCCCGCTAACGCGAGCGCGGCCACGTCCGCCTCATTAATAAGCAATCAGACAATTGCGCCTCATTAATAAGTAATCAGGTGATTACTTTTTAATGAGTAACCGTAAGCACACTTATGCGGTCCTGCCAAGTTCAGGTATGAGCAGGGGCGCTGCGGCCGCGCGCGCCTTCCCTCACCGCCAACGGCCGCCGCGCGGATCGCGCT